CTTCATCATTCAAACATCATTCAAACAATCTTTATCTTACTAAGATAAAAATTCCTAGCAATTAGAGGTAACTTGTATTTAAGAAAGATTATCTCTAATAAATCGACCTAGAAAATAGTGTAGGCTTCTTTAAAATAATGTCAGTCACCACCCGCTGACTTTAGGTGAATTGTGTAGTGTTGTTGAGTGTAGATGAGTGTGTTGTGTAAGTGTCTAAATGTAGAGTGTAGAATAATATACAATCGTAGTAATAAATAAAGTAGGTAATGCATTAGGTATAACAATACATTATGTAGTGTTAGATAGTAAGTAAATAAGTATACATAAGTACACAAAGAAATATTTTGATATTGGCTTATTTATAGTGTTATCAACCGCACTTTAAAATTGATATTTGACATTGGCTTGTTTATAGTGTTGTCATCCGCACTAAATTGGTATTTTGACATTGGCTTATTTATAGTGTTGTCAACCGCACTAGATAAAAAGTATGAAAAGTATAAAAGTATGAGTAGCCAAATAATTAAATGAAAACGTTATGAGTATTTACAGGGTAGTAACAATAAATAAATAAGTAATCCAAGAATATTTCTCAAGGTCTCCTATCATTGGTAATAAAATTTCACGCAATTCTTGAGCCGTTTGGGTGGATTCAAAATTCGCGTTTCGTAATTTCAGTTCATAAATAATTTCTGGTTTATTCAAGTACGATATATCCATGATTAAAATTGGTTATTATAAAAGAAATGAATGTCAAATCGTAAACGGAAAATAAATTACAATATTCTATTTTTTAAATATTAAAAATAATATTATTCGTCAAAAAGAAATCTCAGCAAATTTTTGAAAAAATTAAAGTAATGCCTTACGTACCTTTATATATACGGAATCTTAATTAGATTATTTACTATTAAATATTCCTGTTTTATAACACTATGTTGAGTACGTGTTTGTATGTTCCTCGATACAATGGCATCAGAACCGATCACATTTGTGACCAGCCAAAGTAACGCTGAACGTCTATTGTCTGTTTATGTGAGTAAATGTGATTGTGGTGTTGGTCGTAAAGTGTGCACTATTGTCTTCTATTGCAGTAGTCAGCCTATTTTTCAACCACGTTGCGGCGCCAGTGTTACGGGTTCGGTGCTTCGGTCAATTAAATAGGCTGATCAGCTTGAGTATAATTTATTAATGAAATAAGGGTAATAATAAAAAACTGTAACAAACAAAAATAAATTTAAAAAAACAGTTCGTAAGTTACTTAAACTAATACATTCTTATCAAATAAACGAATACATACCCCTTGTCGGGCTTCTTGTTACACTTTTGGATCGTACAAAATACAGTTTTAATTTAGTAAATATGTTATATTATTGTATCACCATAATATATGAATTATTTAAAAATTACATAGTAAAATTTATACCAATAATATTGTATTATATTATAATTTCATCTTGTGTATAGGAGAATTTCTTACGAACTGACATCCATAAAGAGTAAAATTGATTAGTCAAAATTTTAAATTACGAAAGACGAATAGTAAAATGAAATGATGTTGAATTTCAAAAACAAAAAGTTTGCATACTGAAACCTAGGAAAACAAACGGTGGCATGGCACACCGTTACAAATTATTTCATACAACCACGTCATTGTCAGTGATGTTTTTATTTTTGTCATTATTTTATAAAGGGATAATAAATCAATATTCATACTCTTAATTTTATCAACAGCTCTAACATTGCTCAAATTCTAAAGATTAGTAGATAAAGCCCCTGTATTAAGGAGTATTTGAAGATATTACAATATAGAAAAGATCTTTTCTATATTGATCTGATCGGGAATCGAACCTGGGACCTCAAAACGTAACGTAAAAAGTTTCAACTTTTAGATCTGAGCACCGGAAATTGATTTGAATTATCTTGGGTGGCAATATTGAGATTATATTGTTAGTATATGTAGTTAATCTTGAAATCACTGGCAACTGAAAGTAAAATTAATAAAATAAAATAAATATTAGATAACATCATATACATTGCTCAGATTCCATGACGTATTATGAAGTATTTGAGACAACGAAGGTACTACAACACCCAGAGTCGAGGCAATATAGAAAAAATCATTTTCTACGTGGACCTTGATTAAGATGGCGACACCTTGAAACCGATGTATGAACCATTTGGCACAGGTCGTCAAATTAAATAATAAGTGCAGTATAAGTATTTATACTGGACTAAAGATTACAAAAAAATTTTTTATTTAGAAACTTGTGATTCTCATTTCAAATTGATAAATTTATTTTGTCTGTGTAAATATTCTATTTTCGACACATGTTTTTTTTTTTGTACGGAAAACATATGAGTTCCGCCATCGTAGTAATGTGGCGCAAAGCAAACCGCACGGAACATCGACAACGTATCCGAAGCGAACGTTACAAATTGACTAAATACGGTCCATTTTTCTTTCCAGTGCGGCTGTTCTAGACATTGTGATCTAGAATATAGGCCGTACATTATGGTTAGCAGAGAAAGTCAAATAATTCTTTTGAAAAATACCATTGTAACTTTTTTTCAAATTGATTTCAATTCAATGAAACTCTTTTGAAAAGTAGGTTTTTCTCTTCCCCCGTTACAATTGTGAAAGCTGACATACTCAATTCAAAACTGAATTAGCATGACCTTTTGACGTTATCCGCAAAACAATGTTAGTTCATTTGCGTCATGGTAAAAGACTTGACAAATTAATACCAGACTAAGTGAATAATCACCAAACACATCAAGATCAAGTTGTATAGCAGACGTATAGACGATGATGTTTTTGATGTGTATTATTTCTGTAAACGAAAACAAATATTATTTTTTTTAAATATTCAGAGTTTTTAATATGAGACACCTAGTAAAAGAATGCAAACGATTCAAATTCATTCATGTTAAAGTTAAAATAATGACAGAATAAAAAAAATTAACCGACTTTAAAATTGAAAAAAATAGTAAAAATAATAGTTATCTTTAAAGCGGTTAAATTTTTTAAGAAACATTGAAGGCGACGGTTGTCATTTAATAAACTACAGAAAACCTTTTTACGTTTTTATTTTTCAGCTGAAATAAACAACAAATGATAATAAATGAATGCCGAATAAATGAATTTTGAAAATTCATAATTGGTGGAGTAATTGCGTAACAAATGCAATAAATAACAGTAGTGTAGTCGAATTAATAACCTCGTCTTTTTTTAAAGTCGTTTAAAATTAGACTTCATAAATTTTCTAAAACTACTGAGCCACCAACGCTCTCAGCGGCCTAAGAATTTGCATATGAATTTTAAAGTAGTTAGATAAAAATAAACAACTAAAGTAAATATATAATAATTCATATTAAATGATAATTTGGCGTGTCTATACCATAGTTACCAATTCTAGAACACTGAGTGTTAACTTTATTAGAAACGCTATTTCAAACAAATTTCAAAGATAAAACGCTAAACTATGCGTTGATAGCCGCTAATAAAGCGAACGTTGACTCTATAATGGGTTGTTCGCATTTCAATTAAATATTAACTCGACATGAACTTAAAATAAAACTTCCATGATTATTGTAAGTCGAGTTAACATTATTTTGTAGCCACGAAAGTTTTATTCGACGATAATATAGAGTTTCTGGCACGAATTCGTAAGATTCGTCTGGAATCCGTCTCTTTTATTGAATTTTTATTGTCTCTGTGAGTTAGTGGTGTTGTTTACAAAGTATCATGCAAGTGAACAATATATAGTGAAATAGAATGCTGTATGGGTCGTTAACTGAAATTTTGCTCTGGGAATATATCGGGAATGCGAATGGCCACCTACTTCCTGTTAACTTCTATATCTTGCATCATTTGATTAACTTTTAAGATAATTATTAAGAGAGCAAATAGCGTCCTCTAAAATATAAATAATACGTGTTCCCTTGTACAAGAACTTATATTGTTTGCTCTTTTTGATATTATATAATATCATCTTTTTGAGCCATGAAGTGGAAACTGATAACTACTTACTTATTTTCTCATTCAACTTGCAGGTATGAGAGGAGAAGCATCTGGCTTATCCTATGTTCCTTTGGCACAAATGGAAGAAATATTACGCAATTAGTCTCACACCATATTTTGTCCTTTCACACTGGAGTTTCGGCTAGCCTACATTACATATATAAAAAAGTGCAGTGCCTCTTGTATCACAGTATTTATGACTACAATAAGTCCGGCCATTTTCTTGTCACACGACCACCTAACAGTGATATATAATACTTCGGTTCACATCGTTATTATTATTCTAGCTTCCCCTGATATTATGAATAGATACTCGATCGAATAAAGACTTGTAAATAACACTGACTCATAAAGATTTATGTTTCTCTCCAGCGAAATAATAGTTTTTTAAAAAGCTATCGCGTGAAAAATACTTGGTATAGTTACTAAATTATTCTTCTCATCAGCATCATTTTAAAAACAAAATTTAAAAACAAGTATATTAAAATGGTTTTATTGCGTGTATTTTTTCGGATATTTTATAATTTGAGTGTTCACTTAGATTAAGATAACCATCTTTTGAACATAAAAAAATATATTGCTAATCTTTTTTTAAGAAAAAGTTCTTAAAAAATTCACTATTTCCCAGGCACTCTGAGATGGGACTCAATCCATATATCATAATGTGTCATGGGTTCGAGTTCCATCTCAGAGTGCCAGGGGTAAGGTGGATTTTAAAGCATTTTTCATTAAGAATATTTTTTAGTATATAATGAAAAGTTGCTGGACGTCCTTTTTTGGCCCGAAACCGAAGATTTGAAAAATGAGATCATTTTTGTTCCAAGTATTTTATATGAAAACTTTCCTCTAAACTTTTGTCAAACCCTATGTTAATTCTATCAAAACATATCCTCAGTCAATGGTGCAATATATAGGCAGAAGAAGGTTTTAATGACTTATTAAAAATACATCGGTTTTTTGTTTCTTTTTTCAGTAGCTGTGGATACAAGATGTGAAGCATGGAGGAAGCGGAGTGCCTCAATTGCAGCATTTACGCTGACCTCAACGACACACTCGATTACGGCAATGCCTCTCACATCAACAAGTTCTATTTTTATCAGGTAGACTACTTATCAATGAATCACATATTTGAATGAAAGTATATAAATCTTAAAAATAATTTAAAACGCGAAACTAATTTCAATGTGGATGAAATTGACAACAAACACCACCAATTCTTATATTAACTACATATTATAATAACAGCATATTACTTTTATAAAAGCAATATTTATTATCCATATAAATAATATCCAAAATTCGATTTAGACAAAGAAACTGATTTAAAACACATTACAAACAACTTCAATTTGAAATGTTTATCGTAATTATAAGAAATTTTTACGCGGTGAGAGGTGGCACTAAATAATATGCGTCATAGCATGGACACGATACTAAAGTTATGTTAAGTAACATAATTAAATAATCCTCAAAATTTACAAAAAAAAAAATCTTAACTTTTATAAAACAGGTTAATCTAAACAGCTTCAAGGTCAAACTCTAATTTAAAATATAAAACTTTCAACAACAGCCCTGCGATTCTGTAAAAATCTAAACCCGAAATCGAATTCACTCAGGTGTCCGATTCACTTCAAAAAGCGGCATCTGATCAATCTAGGACTGATAATAACGTTTCGCGGCATAACAGAAATGAGATTGGAAATGACATAGAAATGGAATATCTGAGACACGAATAAATCAATCAATTTTATTTTGTATTTTTTTACAAAAAAAAAAAAACACTAAATAACGTGAATTCGGACACATGAGTGATTCTGAATTTGGGTTCGGATTTTTAGAGAATCGCCCTGCAGCTCGCTGTTCGAAGTTCAAATGAAATTCTTTGTAACTTAAAATAGAAACTTCATTGATTTTTTCCCGAGCTAATGTGACAATTAGTTTTTTTTTTGCGTGAGGCCGTATAACCAACATGTAGAAAAAAACAGACAGAAAAGTCAATATTACACTTATCGCAAATGGTGAACAACTGGTGTTAATTATAGACTCGACCATTCTCCTTATATTTAGAGAAGAGAGAAATAAAATATCATATTAGCAAATAAATAAAATTAATTTCATGATTAATCTTTAAATTAATTTCCTTGTTCCTGTGATTATTAATATGTTTATTATTTATTTATTTATTTATAGGTACAAAGACTTGTCAGCCAACAGACTAAAATCCAAAATGCCAACAAGTTAAAATTATGAAACAAAATTTTACAATGTTCATTCATTAAATATAAATAATAATACAAAACAAAATAAAAAAAACCTATACCAAATACAAAGTGAGTCAGACAATCTATTATTGTGTCAAAATAATAAAAATACATTTAATAAATTATTATTTCCAATGTCAATTAAAATTTACAAAATTCATTCATTACATATAAAATAACGTATACAATAAAACATTACATAACGTATAAAATACGCATTTAATGAATTAAGAATTCCAATATCAACATAAAATTTTACAACATTCATACATATAATTACAAAAAACATTTAATAATTTATGATTTTCAATGTCAATTTTATCATTAAGTCACTTTATTATAAATTATTTGTCCATGTCATCTAAAATAGCTCGAAAACTAGTCATGAAAACTGCCAAACTATGTGCGAATATGTCAATTTCATCGTACCGAGCGACTACATCACCTATGAGTGTTATCGCGCGGTTAGTTGGAGCATATAATGCACGTTTGATGCGCGTTACTGGTCGAACCAGAAGACGCTGATTTCGACGTGGAGCCACCGTTCCGTCTTCATTATGCAACAAATATCTGGGTACTTTAAGTCCCATTCTGCCTAATATTGACGGTGCGTCCAACTTATTGTGCAATACAAATAAGTAATGTCTCACCATTGCAATAATCCGCCTAAACTTAAGGGTCTCCAAACCTACCATACCCGAGACAAATATGGAAGGATATAGATATGGATAGTAACCATATAGTTTTTTATAAAGCCAACGAGCGAATTTCCGTTGTACCCTTTCCAGCAGCAAAACATATTTCTCTTCGTACGGATTCCATACAGCGGCAGCATATTCGAGCTTGCTACGAACATAAGCGTTGTATAATGTTATTGCAACCCTTACATCATCAAAATCAGCAGCAGTTCTAATGACGAAGCCTAAAGTCTTACTAGCTGATTTAGCAACTGAAGTTATGTGAATGTGAAAATCTAATTTTGCATCTAACATTACTCCTAGGTCACGTATGTAATTTACTCTATCCAAATGGGCGTCAAATAAATTATAATTTGCATTTATTGTATTACGTTTTAGTGAAAATGTCATTATTTTACATTTGCTCTCGTTAAAAGGAAGACGATTAATCTCCAGTTTGACACAGCATCTATATCCTTTTGCAAGGCCCTAACATCAATGTTATTATCAACTCCTAAGCTTATTTTAATATCATCAGCAAATAGAAGGCATTCCGCCGACTTGATATTATCAGGCAAATCATTTATAAAGATCAAGAATAGAGTTGGCCCAAGAGTGCTACCTTGACTTACTCCTGACCTTGTGTAGTATTTGCTTGACTCGAAACCATTCAACCTTACAAACTGCTGTCTGTTACGTAAATATCTGGAGAAAAACTGGAGAAGTCTTGGCGCGAAACCAAATGTCACCAACTTTTGCAATAATATATCATTATCGACTAAATCAAAGGCCTTCTTAAAATCGAAATAGGCGGCATCAACCTGCCGCCCAGCATTCATTTCTGCACAGACATAATCCACGTGCGCTATTAAATTGGTATTGGTTGATCGACCCTTTCGAAACCCGTGCTGACTGTTATGCAGTTTATTGCTAATTTGTCGACTGATGTGTGTATTAAGAATTGTTTCAAACAGTTTCGCTATCACTGAGAGTACTGCAATCGGTCTAAAAGTAGAAACATCCCTTCCCGGATCTGATTTTGGAATGGGTGTCACCCTAGATAATTTCCAACACTCAGGATATTCGGCTTGAATAAGACACATATTAAAAAGAACCAACAATGGTAATTCAAGGGCGGCTATACAGTCCTTAATTAAAAACGCCGGGATACCATCCGGACCACTTGCTGTTCTAGGTTTAAGACGCCTAACTGCTGATTTCAAGTCTGCTTCATCAACAGCCGCTATGGAAATGAGAGAAGAATCTACACACATACTAGCTGATTGAGCAGTTTCAGCATTCAATTCAGGCTCATTATTATGAAATACTGAACCGAAATACTCAGCAAATGCATCTACTGCTTCTTGGCCGGACACGTCCCTATCGCAATAACCATATACATCCATCTGCCTCCTTTGCTTTCTTTTATCTTTTACATATTTCCAAAATTTTATCGGATTGTCAATAATATTTTTTTGCGTTAGTTTGATGTATTGTCTATAAGCACTGTCTAATAATATTTTAACCCTCCATCTGTAATACCGAAACATTTCCCCATTGAACTGCTTACCTTCTGACTTGAATCTCTTTAAATGGAAGAACTTATTTTTGATATTTTGTATGATGTCAGCTGTGTACCATTTTGGATAAATATATCTCTTTCCATGTATAACCCGCTGTTTACTGGGCACAAATAAACTAATAAGATTATTTAGCTTATTATAGAAAATCTTTACAGCTGAATCAACACTTGAAGTGTTCATCAAATCGGTCCAGTCCAATTCTGTTAACGATGCATATAGTCCTTGAAAGTCCGCCTTATGCCAATTCCATTTAGGGTTGGTCTCCAAACGCTGATTAAGAAGCGATGGCGATTCAAATGGATGGATGAATGGATTAATGGATTAATGAGCATAACAGTGGTTTATTTATGAAGATTAATTATCAGATAAAATCTTTATTTCCACCATCTTTTATACAGACCAAGTAGTAAGTATAAAGAGGGAGAAAGATAAGATAAGAGAATTCAATAAGGCTTTACAGTTAACAGAATACGTGCTGCGGAGATGCAAGATGGTGGAAACTCAGTGGATATTTAGAGAGCAATGCTCTAATATTCAGGCTCAAGGGTACAAATTATAATGAATAATCATCGGAAGAAAATACCAAACTAGCACTGTAAAAACAAAATATAATCATGAAATTAATAAAAAAAAGGAAGGAGGGAATCATAAATGGTTTTATAAAACAAGAAAAGAGAGTTAACAATCTGTGTATGTTTTCTTATTTGTCTATGACCCTACAAGATATATGTTTGTTAAAATGTATAATCTAATTAAAAGGTCTATAACGTATATTTCTTCATGTTGAGGTTTTATTGTAAGTATCAATAAAGTACCATGTCAACATCCCGCCCCACGGCATTGTGTAATGTATTGTATAAACTGTGTGATTATACTGCGGCTGCGGGGCCAAATTAATTGTGTGAGAAGATTGCCCTGAACTATGGGTCTAGACGACTCGTATTCAAATCTTGTCTCTAAAACGGTGCAAGTTACAGGAGTATATCTAATGATATTAAAATTGATTTAATGGGCGTTGACCTAATGCAGATGCAGGGATCAGGGATTAAGAGATCATGGTTATTTCGTTTTCACTGACGATAGATGGCGTTTATATTACAATTGAATTATTTTTTGTATAGGTATGAAAAAAATATAAAATACATTTAAAGCAGAAAATTTAAAAAGCATGACCAAGTAACTTTTAACTTACACAGTATATTGAAGATACAAGTGTTTGGAGCCTTCGACTAATCTCATATAGATTTTAGATCCTTTCGTGACACTAGATGCCACTGAATAAAAAAAGAAATGTTTTGCCACTGCACGATACACAGTGAAGTTCTTGTATCAGGTATAGGAATAACAATATTGCCAACTGTTTTATTTTGGATTATGTTCTCAAAAGCAAGCTGTCGCATTCTTACTTACTTATCTGTCGATATAAAGACTAGGTACTCAAGTCTACGACAAAAATAGGGAAACATAATTTCCTATGGATGTTACCAATACAGTAATGTTATGTGAAGTATAGGTATTGACATAATATTTTCTAAGAAAATTAGTCCATCCTTCCATTTTTGCAAAACATGAAAATTTG